TCGACATATGTATCTGGATGCAGTTTCAGCCTAAAGCCAATGGCGTTTTCATTGCTTTCGTTTTCTTTTTTTCCACGGAAGAGAGAATCCTGGCAGTTTCTAGGCTGACTCCCTGTTAGAAACGGGGAGCATCCAAGTGCCTGACACAAAATGAATGTTTTAGGCACTTTCCCAAAGTGAATGTATCCTCCCTCAATTGTGGGAGAAGTTCCTGTCATGAATCTGAAGGCACTCGCGCTGCACACCATCTTTTCCCCTTTTTTTTTTTTTTTTTGCTGCAAAAGAAAGGAAAACAAAGAAGAATCTGGGCTGTATCTCACGTGCCCCAAAGGAAAGCACTACCCCGAGAATGTACTCTCCCTCAGTTGTGGGCAGATACTCATGAATAGGAAGGAGGACGTGCAGCCACCTTTTCTGCCGTTCTTTTTTTCTTCTTGTGCAAGGAAAATGAGCAATAGCGAAATGACAATGTCCAGCATGCACAATCACATTGAAGGCCAGATAGTAACACAGTGTCCAGAAAGCAGAAATGCACCAATATAACACCAATGAAGAATGGTAACACTGAAAATCAATGTCAACTGGAAACCAATGTCAATGAGAGCTTGCTCTCGCCACCACCAACATGAGTGTCCAGGTCCTATCTCCCTACTTGGCGCTCGGCGCCCAGCCTACTTCCTACACAGCTACAGTCTGCCTACTGATTGACCATGCAACTGTTGACGTCAGCAGCCCACGAAGTACTTGAAGATGTCGCCCATAGCAGACCATCGCCAATACCAGGTATGTGCCCTCACATCATCATCATCATCATCATCCTTCTCTCTCGCCCTCTTCTTCACCCATGTCTTCCCTCTGTACACCCGAAGACCACCCCTGCAGGTATGGAGGCTGGGCAATGGCGCTGCCCTCGGCTGCGCCCTGCTCCCTGCACGACCGCACGCGCTAGCACCTTGCCTCTCAGCGCCAGCAGCAGCACACGAGCGTCCGCTCCAGCAGCGCTGCCGCCAGCATGCAATTGCTGAATGAGAGGCCAGGCAGGGAGCTCTTCCCTATATGGAATGAGCCGTCCTGCCTTCGCAGCCTGGCTGGCCTGGGCCTCGGCCCAGAAGCTTCCGGTAGGACCCAGGATGCTGCGCCTCTGTTGCAGCTACTGGGCCTCATTCAGTTGGGCCTCCCAACTGTCTGTGTACGAGGCTGCGATTCTCGCCCAGGGCCTGCATCTTTCTGAAAGGCCCGGAAGGCCGCGGAATGTCTCGCTGCTCGGCCTGTGTTTCCCTCAACCGACTCGCGCGACGAAACTGCCTGGACCCCAAATACGAAACTGGCAGCTGAGGGCCTCTCATGATTTGTTAGGCCCGCCTTCACTTAGGGCGGGCACATTTGCAAAAGGGTCCCCTTAGGCCTGCCGAGGACCCAGATCCTCGCACTTGCAACAAAAAAAAAAGAAGAAAAAAGGGTAAAAAAACCTCAGCTGTATCTCATGTGACTCAAGAAAGAAGAACTCTCTCGAGAATGTATCCTCCCTGAATCCTTGCCATGTACCTCGCACTTGCAAAAAAAAAAAAAAAAAAAAAAAAAAAAAAAAACCAACTTAGCTGTATCTCATGTGACTCAAGAAAGAACTCTCTTGAGAATGTATCCTCCCTGAATCCTTGCCATGTACTCATGAAACTCAAGGCCGTCTCCTAGAATGCCGTTTTTTTCCATTTCCGTTATTGCAATAGAAAAAAAAAAAGAAGAATAGCGGCAGTATCTGATTGACTCCCCGTGAGAAACGGGGGGCATTGAAGTCCTGTCACCAATGCAACATCGGGCAGTCTCACGCCTGCACGAGTGAAAACTAGTGAGCTACAGCCTGTTTGTTCCTCCTGCTGGCAGCAGGTCCGAAATCCATGCACAGGCTAAATGGGTTGGATGCGAGCCCCAACTTGCCTGGATGGATTTCGGGCAAAACAGCACCCCAGTGCATCCTGCCCTATGTGCCAGCATACATGGCGTGTTTCTGCGAAATGGCTGGGAATCGTACTGGTGGTTTAACCTGGGGAGATCTCTGCCCACTGATCTCAAAACCAGGGCCTTTGCAAGTATTTTACAGGAGACATTTAGCAGGGTGGTAGGGGTGCCAGTTCCTTACCTCTTTCTTCTTTCCTATTCTTTTTTAAGTAAAGGAGCATTATGCTCCCACAGGCGACACCCTTTGTAAATCTACTGCCTTCTAGACCTTCATTTTACATGTTGATCAAATATAGGCTTATGTTATTTCCTCCCATAGTGCTAGATACACTTCCACTGGCAGCTCATCCCAGATTGGGCGTTTACTCTCAGCGCCGTTCTGATGGGCAGCCAGCCAATCCGGTTCTGGTAGCTTGGCTTGAACCAGCAGTCATGTGCGGAGATATACAACTGACAACATCAATCACGATTGCACAACACGCATTACTCGAAGAGCAAAGACTCGAGGAGCAAGACATGCATTGATCGTAGTCAAAACACCCACGGGTTTACGCCCATAAGCTCATTATTGACAAATCAACAAGCAAGTTTCAATACTTGTGCAATACTTGTGCTTCCAAAATCTCGCAGTGGTGGTGAGTATATCGTGTCATGCGCTGCATCAAGTTACTATCCGCCGAAACTTCACCCGAGACTAACCGACATTCACCAACCCTTTACCTGAACGACAACAGCCGGTTCATCCGGCTGCTATCGCTCTAACATCCGTTGTCAAAGAGGAAAATTACTACTATGATACTATCCCAACCAGCTATATACTACCTCATTGCCTCCGACTAAAACAACTTCTTCAAACAGCAGAAAAGGACACAGACAAAACAAATTAAAAAATTGAAAAACACACAACCCGCCGAAAGCGGTCGCATACAAAGTACCTCGTAGGCACACTTCCTACGTTGTGGACCCAGTCCAGATCTGCGCCGGTTTCTGGAAGACTAACACAACTTCAACAGCTGAGCCGTCAGTTTCCATACATTGTCTTTTTTCATTGCGAACCCGTCCAGCACGTTCTGGAAAAACGTGTCCGGGAAACCCTTGGCCCGGAACTCGCGTCTGGGTATCAGCACCTGTATGCCAGTTCTCTTCCCCAAGCGTTGGAACCCGACATTTGCTTTCCTCAGTCTGTCCGCCAAACAGGAAACCGCCGGCAGGTTGAAATGCAAGGTATCCGACAGTTTTCCCAGCAGGAGGTTAAGAGCCTTTGACATTTTCTTGTTCAAGGTGTTTACTGGCTCACAGAAAGTCGGACAAATAGGTCGGAAGAGCGCTAGATCCTTCTGTTTCGGAAGGATATAGCTTCTTCCAGCCTTACCGTCCGCCTTCCATTTGGCCAAATGACCAATCCCCTGCCCAACAAACTCATCATAACCCTGTGCCCAATAGCTTTCCTCGGACCGAGCAAGAATTTCAAACCCAACAATCCTCACAAACATCTGTTGCATCCCTTCATAATACAGCAGAGGGCACATGACAACCGTTTCCCCAGGATTACGATCAACAGGTGTGAAAACCAGTCCTTTATACATAGCCTTCACCCTCCACACTTCCTCGATCGGCAAATCAACCTCCCTTCGGCATACATCGTTCAGGCATGCTTCAGCCTCCATCAACCGAACGAGTACGCCGGTCTCCCTCCCAATCTTCCACCCTCGAAACCCTTCCTCAATCTCTTCCTCAATGTGCGGGCCTGGTACCGCAAAGATGATGAATCTTTCCGGACCATTGTGGCTGTGAGTCGAAAGGAGGTCTGGACGTTAGGATATCTTGGAAGTAAACTTTTGCCTATTCAGTGCTGTTCACAATTTCACATATTAAATTTCTGCCTTCAGCCAACAGAGCTTGTAGCAGAAGGGGGTGAGAGAGCCCTCTGATCAGGGGTTTAGAGCTTGGAAGCGGAGGGCTTCTGAAAGCTTTTTTTTCTGTCAGTCAGTCGTTGGGCTCGCTCCATTACTCATCAAATGCGCAAAATGAGAATCAATCTTCCTCTAGAACATCGGATGATAAACCGCCATATTTTTGTCTTTTGTGCATGTGGTGAGAAGTGGAGCGAGGCCTCCACTATGCCTTTCTGCTTTACCCATTCCCTCCATTTTTCGTGCTTTTGTTTTTAAAGTTTTGAAACAGGAACTCATTGCTTCTTCTTCTTCTTCTTCTTCTTCTTTTTTTGGTTATTTCGCTGTTCCTTCGGAATTTCATCCTTTTTTATCGAGGCTTTTTCTTTTCCGTTGGTGGGTGGAAGGGTGGGCTACGCTGCTCTCCGCAGCAGTGCAATGTGAAGGCAACGCTGGAGGGGTCGACCAGGCAAGCCTATTTTTATGACACGTCCGTAGCGCCAGAGAAATTAGATTAATGTCATTTGTGGCCCGGTGCACCACGGATAAGATACTACACTTGATCGGAACGGATACTGCACTCTTATCTATTTTCAGCCAAAAGGCCGAGAAAGGTATAGTTTTATCGAGTTTTGCTTCTCGTGTTCGCCCCATTATAAGTCCAGAATGGGGTGCTTCCTTTTACCTTTCCCATCTGGCACTCCATTGCACTCGTGTTCTTCCTTTGTCTTATTCTGAGCTTTTATTTGCACGAACAAATACCCTCAGTGATTCTTTTCTTAAAGCACCAGTACACCACATATCGGGCCGCGGGTGTCAGCATGAAACCTGCACCACTTCAGAGCCCGCCGTTTTTTTTTTTCAACAGCGGGCCTGGCCGTGCGGCGCCTCCGAGTCTTGCTTGTGGCGACAAAAACTTTCTGCAAGGCTGGGGCCGTGTACTAGCGGTTTAAGGATGTAAATCCCAACTTCAGTCCGGTTCTCATCCGAGGCGAATAAGGATCTGCTATTTTGTCATCAACAAAGGTGCTGTTCGATGGTGCTGTTTGGCCCATTCTGTTAGGCCCAGATCTTTACAGGACCAGTACATCCGTACCTCTTTTTACGAGGCGGATTCCCACTGTGAGCCAAGCTTTACTGAAACGCGAGCACGGCTATATCGTTTTAGTTTTGGCTGGCGCCGCCAAACATTTTGGTCTGGTTGCCCCGAGCCTCTTTTTTTCTTTTTTTCTTTTTTCTTTTTCCGGAGTGACTCAATCATGATTCTCAAGATGGCTGGGGTGATGCACTGGTGGTTTCAGGTGAGAGGTGTTCGTTCTGAAGGGTGGTGGTGTGGACCCTCTCTGTCGAGTCAGCTTGAAGTATCTCCTACAACCGGTGTTTCGTCTTCTTATAGAAGGGGATATCTCCTTTTGAAAGAAACAAAGAAACAAAGAAACAAAGAAAGAGAAGTTAGCAATGGCCAGCTCTTGCTTGCAAACATGTTTTCCATAGATCAAGCTTGAATACACCCCATGCTCAAGCTTGAATACACCACATGCTCAAGCTTGAATACACCACATGTTCTCATGACACTCAGAGCGGAGATCTCATCATCTTGTGTGCGCAAAGATCCGGTGAGATGCCCCTCGTCCATATCAACATGACATCCAAAAAAAAACAAAAAAAAAACAGACATCCAATCGCTGTCTCACTGGCGGGGTTTGTGCTCGGAACCAGATAAAGTTGATAAACCCATGAGGATCTGGATAAAACCTGCAAAAAAGGACACCAATGAGGTCTTTACTGCGCATATGTTACTAACTTACTGGCAAACAGAAGCATGGGACGCGGTATGCTCATCTACCCCATACGAGAAAGGCGGTTACCTTGCACCTGAAACTGAAAAATAGATATTTTTTCCCTTATGTTTGTTAACTTTGTTCTTGATTTTTGCCCTTGCTGCCTGTCTGTTTTCCCTTTTCTCCCCGGAAGTGCACTCCTCACCAATAGCAGGTAGAACCGTAGAACATAGTATATCGCATGGCAAGCCAGCACAATTCTACCATCACGCCATCACGACCACCGCTAGTTCATTTGTGAGCCGATTCCAGAGGCGGAGTACCGCTGCAAATGCGGAAGTGGACCTGTGACAAACTATTCCCTTGTATTTCTAAAAGGTTTAAAGGACAAATTATGAGTGTGATTCGCTATACTATTTTCAAGCATTTTGCCTCGTGACTCTTGCGTTGCTACGAGAGTGTGATTCGCTATACTATTTTCAAGCATTTTGCCTCGTGACTCTTGCGTTGCTACGAGGGCAATACATGTGACGGCTGCTAGTTGGGTGGCAAGTCCATTTCTCTGTGTGTTTGTGTTTGAACTGCCATTTCGTCAAAATGGACATCTTTTATTTTTTGAACTAAATGGAAACCGAGTTTTTTGGCCCAAACCTCGTCAAAATTTGCTGTTCCTGAGGGTCCGGCGTTTGTAAAACGCTGGACCCCTTGGCTGTACATGGACCAAGCTTGAGACCAGGTACCTCCAGGC